ATAGAAGTGCCAAGATCACACGTGGCTCGTTTTATCCCAACTTTACCAATTTTACAGGGTATTACGAACATACCCTTGTCTTTTAATTTCGGTGGTAACTTTTGTTGGAATACAGCTGAGACATGTTCCCCTAGGTTTACCTTCTCATTCTCGAAAAGCTTCCTCTTTGTTGTACAAAGATCCTTCAAAAACCGGGCATATCTTGGAACCTTTTAGATAACCTCAAGGAGAGATATATTGATTTGCACCTTCCGAAACACATCTAGTATTTCATTTTCCTCAGCTTGTTTATCCCTTTTAACTAACATTGATGGAAAAGGTGGTGGCACATCATAGGGAGATGGCGTTGAATCGTTCATTTGTTCTTTGTCATTCTTCTTCTAGGATCCTGAATCATCAGTCTTCTTCCCTTTTTGGACTGCTTCGTCTGGTCGAACAGGTGGTGCTACTACTGTACCACTCCGAAGAGTGATGGCGCTGATGTTTTCCCTTGGGTTTACTTCAAATTGATATGGGAGTTTACCTTGTGATTCCAAACGGCCTACGGTTTGATCCAGTTGGCTTATCTGTTTGTCTATCTCTTGGAAATGGGCTTCAGTACGAGTCTGGAATTTTTCTTAGGAAAGTGTTAACCTCTCGACAATTAACTCTAGTGATGTCTTCTGCGGCTGTTGTGGTGGTGGTGGTGGTCTTGTTTGATAGCTTTGATTTGGTCTCAAGTTCTAAGCATAACTGAATTTTGGATGTTCCCTCCATCCTGGGTTATATGTGTTACCGTAGGGATTATAAGCTCTTTGGGGAGGTCCCAGAAAGTTTTCGACTGCGTTGACTTCAGCTGCTTCGTCGTCTTGAATCAGTGGACAACCGTCTGTCGGATGATCAGGTAATGCACATATTCCACATAATCGGTTTTGTCATGTCTTTCCTGGAACAAGAAAGTTAACGACTTCAGTTAACTTATCTATTTTATTTTCTAAGGAAGATGAACTTATCTCATGAACCCTTCGAGGAGGTTCATTATTTGTACATAACTGTTGGGAATTTGCGACCATCGTGGATATTAAGTCCCTAGCCTCAGTAGGAGTCATATTCATTAAGGCTCTGCCTCTGGCAGCATCGATCATCTTCATTTCCAGGGGAGATAATCTTTCATAAAAGTATTGAAGGAGTGTTTGTTCCATTAACCTATGTTGTCGGCAACTAGAACATAACTTTTTAAACCGCTCCAGTAGTCGTAAAGTGATTCTCCATCAAGCTGCTTGATTCCAAGTATTTTCATTCGTAGTTCACTTACTTTCGCCACAGGGAAAAACCTGTCAAGAAAAAGACGAGTCATTTGAGCCCATGTAGTAATAGAATTAGGTAAAGATAAAATAATCACTCCTTAACCGAATCAACTAAGGAAAAATGAAAAGCTCTAAGTTTTACTTGGCCATCGGTTACTTCATGTGGTCTCATGCTGGTACAGACCATATGAAATTCTATGAGATGTTTGTGTGGATTCTCGTTTGGCAATCATCTGAATGTAGAAGGAGATGAAAAAGGCTGGTTTTCAACTGGTACGGAGTTTCGCCTTGGGAAAATTAATGCACATAGGCCCTTGTTCGGTGGGTGCTGCAGCTAACTCCCGGATAGTAGGATCGACCATCGGAATTGTATTAACAAAATCACCTGAATTTGATTCTTCTTCTGGATTTGATTGTTGTCTCCTTCTTTCCCAAAGCATCCGTGCGTGGAGTCTCCTAGCTTTGGCTTCGATCTTCGGGTCGTACTCCACTAATGCGCTCGGATTAGTCCTGGTCATAAATCAAAAGCAAACAAAAATTTAGTAAATTTGGCGAAGTCCCCGGCAACGGCGCCAATTTGACAATCGTCGTTTCGATGTCAAATAAAATTCCATTTTCTCAATAAATAAATAAAGAAATACGTAGTATAGAGAAATAAGGGTCGATTCCTCAGGGACTTAGAAAATCATAATTTTATGTTTGAATGGTTCTAGCTAAGTGAAAATAGTAGAAAAAGAGGGGTTTTGTAATATGAGATTTAAATTGTAAAAAAATAATTAAATAAATAAAGCAATTAAAGTAAAAATAAGATGGTAAAGATTGTGAATAAATACGGTAAAAATAGCTTCAAGCTTCTCTCTGACTCAATTTCCTTTAGATCATCGAATAAGATTTTCCCTCCGGGATTCACGTCGGTTACTTTGTCTATAAGGGCTATTCTCTTGACTCTATATTGTATACATAATACCCAAGGTAATCTTTGATTCTGGCTTCGAAAATTGATTATATCAACATCAATTGTCGTAGATCAATTACCGTTTAAGTTTGTGGCGACCGACTTGGATTGTTGCTTCCATAACCGTCAATTCCGATCTTAAATCCCTCTTGGCGAAGCTATCTCGCCAAGTGTGTTCACAAGAAGTCGAATGTGCTTTCTATAAGCCGAATCTTCCTCCCACACATTTAATCGCAACAAACTCTTGAACAAAGTCAATCTTTGATTTTGAAAAATAAGCGCAGAGATTGAGAGAGATATTCCGAAGATATTAAGGGCATGTTTAAATTCTCCCATTGGAATTGAGTCATCGCTTCATATCTCGACTTATGAGAAATTTAGCTAAGCATGACAAAAGTCATAATTAGCATATTTAAAAACAAGTTGAAAATAAAAGTAAAATGAAAAACTTGAAAAGTAAAATAAAAAAAGAAAGCTTTAATAAAACTAGAGATAAAAGAATATTGTAATTTGAGTGATGAGTTTAGGCTTACCCCAAGTGGGTATTTATAGCCTCTCAAAGCCTAAGAATAAACAAAGAAAATAAAATAAAATAACCTTAAATATAATTGTTTTTTAAATTTAAATTGAAACTTAAACTAGTTTCCTAATGCAACTATGCTCGTCCATCTTCCGGAAGGCGTGCGGAGAAAGTCTTCTAGAAACCGCCGTTGACTGGACCTTCTAGAAACTGCTACGTCAGACCGCGTCGTGCCCAAAGTCGTGGTCATGTCTCCAAGCGTGACCAAATAATAAAAAAATACAGAATACACCCGTTTTGTCACTAATTCTGAAAAAATAAGGACCTGCACGAAAACAAGCATAACACGACCAAATCAGCAACAATAATTTCACGAAATCAAAAAAATAGCAAGCAAATATTAACAATTTTAAACACTCATCAATTTTGTTGGTTTAATTTCCTTTGGAGACTTGGGAATTAATTCAAAAGGTACCCTAAGACAACCAGGCTGCTTAATATGGTTACAACTTACTATTGTACACATAGATTTAGAAAGACTGCCCTATTCCACCTAATATATAGGTTTACAGCTGTAAGTTCTCTACTTGTTTTATTTTCCTCGGTGTGTGAATAATGCATCTTTTATAATTATAATATCTCTGTATTTATAGTATATTTTTTTTATCATTGTAGTATTTTTTTATTGTTTGATTTTTCCTTTTATTTTATATTTTTTCAATGTCGATGTCATAATTGATTAAAATGACGTTTGTTTAAAATCTCGATCATCTTCTCTGTTATGGATCCTCAAATTAAATTTAGATATATAATTTTGCGTTCGTGGTTAGTTAGTTACTCACGACGTTCGACTTTGAATTATAGTTCTCAGTGGTCTTTCAATATCTTAATCTTGTTTTATTGTTCGCTTTCTGATGCAATCAAACTTATTTATTTATCTATTTTTTGTTCGAGTATTTTAGTTGAGTTTTAACTTTTCCCATGTATAATCCTTATTTGATCTAAAGTAATTAGTTTTAATGTTATAAAAAATATTTAAATTATGTATTTAATTGACAATGATAATTATGAACTCTTATTAAATTTTAAATATTTTAATTTTTTAATGGGACTAACAATTTTCATTAAAATAATAATAATAATAATAATAATAATAATATGAAAATGATATCATCTTCAGTGATGGATAATTTTGCTCATTGAATTTGCTTAACGAAAGTTAACGACACTTGCCAATAATAATTACTAGTACTTATTGACAAGGAACAGTATTTTATTTAAAACAAAAGTAGAATGGAAGTGGAATAAATGGTATCATTGTTAGAACAAGTCCCTTACTTTAAGGTAACACTAATGACAAAAGTAAAACATATGAACAGCGTAAATTGCAGTATATGACTTGTATTGTGAATCGTGACATGTGTCCTTTTCCAAAACCAATCAATGTGGCCAAAATAGTTAAAATATTTTGGAGAATCATGTGTCGTTTTCAGTACCACACGGATTTCAAAACCAAAATTATGGGAGGGCCGAAATCTTTCATTTTCATTTATGAAGGAGACAAAAGTTTGAACACTTGACAAAGGTAGTTTTCAAAATTTGAGATGTAATGATTTTGGCGTCTCTTTTCATAACATTTATACATCAAACCAACCATAAATCGGGTGTTAAGCTATATCATTATAGCTGTTGTTATGAACAAGTCCACAGCTTTAAGAAGTGGTCAACCCTAAAACACTCAATCCATGACCCTGAGCAAATATGGATTAAACGTCAACCGCGTGGCATTAATTCTGATTTTTATTTTAATCTTGAATTTAAAAAATAATTTATATATTTTTGAAAGGTCATAATAAAATATTTTTATTTTCTTTAAAAAATCCCAATTGTTTTATTGACTAATATTTCCTTAGATCCAATATATAAATGGAATGTTAAAAATAATCATTTAAAAAATTAGAAAATCAATGAGATTCAAAGTAATATCATTTTTTTTGTTAAAAATCATAAAATATGATTTAAGTTTCTCTATTTTAATAAGATTGCATTTTACTATCGGCGATTTCGTTATCTTTATTCTTTTGGTTTATTTTAACGTACGCCACACTTCAAGGTTGTTAGCGAATATCTCGAATTAAACAAATCAAAAGAGGTATGATATGATTGAATAATGAATTTTTGACCCAAATCGGGGGTAAAATTGTAACACGACCCTCTCTTGGGCAAATTGCACAACGCGAAGAATGAACTTTCAAGCGAATCACATCCACAACGAGTCCCATTTCTACCAATGATTTCACAAACAATTTCTTACCTTTTTACATATTTACACTTCTGCTACCCTCAGATTTCCCAAAATAACCCCTTCTCTATTCAGGAATAGAACTCAGCACAGCCTTAAACTTTCTACTACCTCTGCGTCCTCTCCCTCTCTTCTCACCGCCATTTCCACCACCAGAAACGCCGGCGGGGGAAACCTTCCGGCGAGGAGACTCTTCTGAAAACGAGAAAGGCGTAACAGTTCTACTTCTGCACCTGCATTTTTCAGACGCAGTGGTGGTTTTCATTAAAGCAGAGCTGGCTTTAACAGCCAATGCAGCCATTTCTTCGGCATGTAAAGGACGGTTCAGCCAAGTCAAGGGCAAGGCGAAGTAGAGTTGACCGGGATGAAGCTCCTCGTCTTCCTCGATGGCTGCAACGACATCGTCGAAGGCCATTTCATCGGCGTTGCAGATGAAACACATGGGATTCTTTTGCAAAACATAAGAAGCCTTAACGAGGTAAGGGAACTCCTGTAATCTTCCATCGTGGAGGATCAGCTTGGCTGTTGCTACGTGAGTTGAATCGCAAGAAGTGCAAATACCCATTGCCCAGATTCGTCTATTTCAATGTCGTTTTTGCTTTCTCATAAAATGTTTTTGAATTTGTTGTAGGCCATGAAGGGAGAATTATATATGGTGAATTACAGGGGATATGCCTCGGACTTTGGACTTAGTTGCCACGTAGGATTTGTCGTGACGTGATAATAAAAATATTTTGTAGGAACAGTGGGCAGGGCCAGCCTGCAAGTTAGTGGTGACAGGCTGTATAAAGGGTAAAGGAGGCGTTTATACGGAAAAATTACCCTTAGACCGAATAAGTATCTAACATCCTTTTAGACATAGTAGTAATAAAGTACAGATCGGCAGTCGTATTTTTACGGGTTCTATTCGAGCTGACGCCACATAAAAAATGACAGGAATGGCCATCTGTGCCTTTATTGAACGTGTGACACGTACGAATGTATTGATTATGATCCACGTCTTTCCTTTAATTTTGCGAAATCATCCATCTCCCATATTGATTACCACCCGTCCCCTCCTCCTCTCTCTATAAATACCACACTAACACAACTCTCAGACCACACATAAATCTCAAATTCTCTTATCCTTCCTATTATCAATCTTTCTATTACAAAGGTAAACTATTTTTATTATTTAATTATTTATTATTTCATTAAATTTTATTGTATTAATTTTTATTACTTTTTACAGGTATAAAATGGAAGGCGGTTGCTACGTTTAGATGAGAATCATATCTCGATGCATTTTACCGATACGGTAACAATTTTAAATTATGTGTTATTTTAATTATTGTTAATGTTTTATTTATTTGATTTTCTTGTATCGGTTTATATTTTAATTTGTATATTATTTATTAAATTAGAAGAGAGACCGCATATTAGATCTATTTATTCGTAACGTTAAGTTAGAGATACCTAGTTGTGTTTGGCCGTATTTAGTCGAGGTTAGATTCGGTTACGTAGCAAAATATGAAGGGCATTGTAACCTTGAACCCAACCTTATTTCCACACTGGTTGAGAGGTGGAGACCAGATACACACATTTCATCTTCCATGTGGAGAGTGCATTATTACGCTGGAGGATGTTTCCATACATTTTAGGCTATTGGTAGATAAGAATATGATTTCTGGGGTGGCGGATGGTGATGGCATTCCTTGTGTGATGAGTATCTTGGAGGTGTCCCATCTAATTTCAACAGGAGTCGAATATCGTTAAATTGATTTAATATAACTTTTAAACATTTAAGTCACGACGCCTCCGAGAAACATGTTAAAATGTATGCAGGGGCTTGCATATTACAGCTCATAGGAGGGATCCTAATGGCCGACAACTCGCGCAACCAAGGTCACTGTATGTGGTTGTGTCACCTCGCAAATTTTCACGTTGTCGGCGCACTTGGTTGGGGCTCCGCAGTTCTGGCATTTATGTATAGGAAAATGTGTCGAGCAACTGAATATCATAAAAATACTATCGGTGGATGTCTCATTCTTCTCTAGTCTTGGGCATGATATTGCATGCCCTTTTTATGCCCGATCGTGAAAAACCCATTGGTCTTCCCATTATTGTTGAGGCAATTTCAATACTGAATTCGTATATAAATAATTTTGTTTAATATATAATGAATTTTTTTCCATTGAATAGGTGGTCAAGTACAAGAAAAGATCATCGGGATTTATCGAATGAATTGAAAGAAATTAGGCTACTCATTGATCATAAGGCTAGTACAGATGTATGTATTTAAATTTTATTATTTACTTTTAATTATTGTTATATAATTATAATATTATTTCGATAAGAATTATATATCACATCATTTGAGAAATGAGGATTTGCATCTCACATCATTTGAGAGGTCCTTTAGATGTCTGGATGGTGATGATCCCTTTGATATGTTATGATATTATCGAGTGACATCATTCTGATCGCGTGCTTCACCAATTTGGTTTCGTACAATCTATTCTAGAAGCACCTAAAAATCTCGACGATATTGTTAAGTTAATCGATCGACAGAATTAGCCAAGAGGGGGGTGAATTGGCAATTAAAAATTTGGTGGAAGCTTTTGCAGAAAATTGAAAAGATTTGCATAGCGATTTAGAGTGGTTCGACTTTCTCAATCAAAGTCTACGTCCACTACCTTAGCTATCCACACTAAGGATTTTTCAACTAATTTGTTCTTTCTTTTGAGGCCAAAGAGATAACCTTACAACACCCTCAAGAATATATCCCAATTCTTGAGAACACTATTTTCCCAAAGAGAAGATTACAAATTTGCAAACTTACAAGGAAAACCTCACAAGGTAAGATGTTTGCACAATTCTAGAACAAGAAAAGAACACTCAAAGATAATTACAAATGAGCACAAATGGTGTTCTTGAAAGCAAAATGAATATTGAAAGGAAAATTGGCTTGATTTACACAAACTTGATGTTTGATGCTTTCTCTCTTGTTTCTCTATGATTTCTTGTTGATCAAGGGCTTCAGAACTTGTTTAAATACACCTTGAATCACTTCTGAACGCTGGGGATGATTAGTGAAGATCATATAGCCGTTTTAGTGTGAAAACAATTAATAAAACAGTTTGGAGTGTGGGGGGAATCGGTTCCCCTCATAGGGAATCGGTTCCCTAAGTGTAAAATTCAAATATTTCGACCGTTGAATAGGGGTGAATCGGTTCCCTCCGAGCATTATGGAAATCTCAGAGCCAAACCATTCAGGGGGGAATCGGTTCCCTCTGAGCAATCTGGAATTTTTGGCTTTGAAATAGTTCGAAATACTTTGAAAGATTATTTTGAAATTTTTTTAAGATTAAAACTTAATTTTACACTTAAGTAAGGATTAAAAATGATTTTTGAAATATTTTGAGTAATGTTTTGATATTCGAATAAATATATCGAATATACTTTAGGAAATCATTTTGGAAAATCTTAAAATTCATTTAACTTAATTTGTTATATCGAAATATCAAAATGTTTTCAACAATCTCCCCCTTTTTGATATAACAAAACATTTTAGTAATTTTAAGATTTTGAAATCAAGTTTTGAAATTACTCCCCCTTACTTTAACACTTCTCCCCATTTATCATTTTAAAAACACACTTAAAACACACTTCTCCCCCTTTTTGTTAAATCAAAAAGATTCAAATAAGCGTGAAAAATATGTAGTCAATTGATTAGGTATATGTATGGATAAGCTGCTAAGATCACAATCAAGAGAACCGTTAGCCATTAGTTCCATAATCAATATTCATAAACAATGTGATATGGTAAAATTGGTCATATTGCTAATAATGATGTAAATGATGCAATAATGAATAAATCACACCAAACATATAAGTTCACACCATCCATAAATTCAAACATTCCAAAATATTCAAAATGTTAAAACAATAAGTTTGGAAAACAAAGTAAAACATTTAATCACATATCCGGACCAGGAGGGGGAAAACGAGCTCGCATAGCGGCCATTTTGTTAGTGAGGTCATTAATACGTGCATTGGTTGCTTCATTATTTGCACACATTTCCCGAAGAATTTCTAATTGTTGAGCTCCCATTATGGATAAATGGGACTCTATAGAATTAAAGCGCGAATCCATGGTCGCATATCAGTAATCAAATGTCTCCATAAAAGATTGAAAATATGGAGGCATTTGAGTCGATTGTTGTGCTTGCTCTTCGGGCTGCTCCTCGGGCTGCTCAGGTTCATCTTCAGCTTCATCGATGTCTCGCATTAATTTCTCGAGATCTTTGTCACCTTCGGGTGGAGCTTGTGAAGAACTAGCTCCCGGAGTAGTTGCAGAAGATCGAACCCATTCACCGGTTTCTTTATTTTTGACCCATCCTGCTCTTGTTAAAGAAAGAAGATTAATTTGTTTCTTAATAGGAAAAGCGGCATCTAGACCAACTCGAAGCTCGGCTTTAGAAAAGAGATTACTAAGGATACAACTGTAAACTAGTGAAGAACAGAGTTTCTTATTTGGCACTAGGTTAACTGTTTCAACGATCTCAGCAAAGATAATCTCGGAAAGGTTTATTTTTATGTTGTGTTCAAAACAATGCAACCACCAAAGGTCTAAAGCTCTAAGAGTAGAATAACGACCCCCGGATGGTCGAAACCACCAAGTGATCATGAGATGAAGAAAACGCTCATGAAGATCTAGAACACTTGCACTATCATTCCGTTTATATCGTGAGCCTAAAACTTGTTTTTCATTTGATAAACCTTCATTATCCAAGCCTAAGGCATTGGCTATGTAATCCGGATCAAGATGGAAATATTGACCTAGGAGGTAGGAACATACTCCTGTGGTTTTGGTTTTGTCATGATTTTTGATACAAACGGCATTACAGTAGAAGATACGAACAAGTTGATGATAGACAACGGGTTCAAGTTCGAAAAGTTTATCAAATTTCCATTCGTGCAAGATAGGGAGATATTTAAAGTTAATAGCAACCATAGTTTGAAGAGATGGGATACGTTCTTCCCTAATCTTATACGAGTCAAAATATTGGTAAAACCAATAACGATAATCTTTAGGACCCGGTTGATTGAAACAAGAATTTTGGATAGTCAAGTTAGGATCCAGATTTGGAATAGGATTTTGAGGAATAGGAGAAGGATTTGGAGGTGGATTTGGTTGACGGTGTGAACGGCTAGATGAAGACCTAGCACGTTTAGGATTAGACATGGTGAAGGAAATCGGAATAGATTGGATAACCTGCAATTTAAAAACAAATGTATGCAATTCAATTAATCCCAAAACTCAATTGAGTCCTTAATATTTCAAGGTTCTCTAAATCAATCCTAATGGGCAAAGTTTTTGAAAAACTTTTGAAAAATATGGTTTTGAGAAACAATATATGTATAGTTTTCATAACAACAACATAATTTAATCAAAACACAATGATTTGAAAAACAATTTTTTTTTAAAAAATTTCGAAAATTTAAAATTTTTGGAAATTTTTTGTGTTTTTGATGAAATTAGTTGTAACATCTAGTTTCTAATCACTAAACAATCAATGCCCGATCACTATTTCAACCTAGAACTAATTA